TCTGCAATCCATAAACCGGGTTGCAATTTTCTGGACAAAATCACAGAGTAAACTCTGGCAGTGTGACCGGGACCCGGCTCCTCTAAGAGATGTTCCAGCATTCATTAAAACTCGCAAGGCCTACATTAATCTATTTTTCCTCATTTCCAGGACTGTAGCGGATGTGAAACACTCGATTCACGTCCAAAACTGACCATTAAGGGTCAGCAACAGTTGTTTGGCTCCTTCGACGCTGAGCCATGCCATTCTAGGCCAAAGCAGGCCAGTGAGGGGCCACTGAGATGGGCAGAAGGAAAGACCAGAACTGTATACGCGTGTGCTTTTACTCATGTGTGGGGACGAATCTTTCTACACGGTCAAACTGTGGGGACTCAGGGCCACTTTGGAGTAAAAAGATGTCCCCATATGCAAATCATTACATTTACAGTGAAGATTTGGTTTTTAGGAATGTTAGATTAGGTTTAGTTTAAGGTTAGGATGAGGATTAAGGCCCTACAAGCAGCGCTGATGATTAGGGTCGGGGTAAGTCTCCAGGAAGTGAATATAAGTCAGTGTAATGTCCTCTGCAGTGATGGAAACACAACTGTGTGTGTGTGTGTGTGTGTGTGTGTGTGTGTGTGTGTGTAGTAGCTCTCAAGTTTCACAGCGGAGAGCTGTTGAATGACTACTGAAAGCCAGCGCCAGATTTCTGTGAGCAGGAAGACAAAAGAGCGTGACATAAACACACACACACACACACACACAGCTACTTGACTCTGAGTGTGTGTGTGTGTGTCTATATTTAAACAGTGCATTGTGGCGACACGTGCATGTGTAAGCATTTAAATGACTTGAGTGTGCGCGGCTCTTACCGTCTGTGTGTGTGCATATGTGCTTGACAGAGGCTTCTGAATCTGACCCGTTTGACCGCTACCTAAACTCATGTAAACAAAGCATCTCTTTAGTGGTGCAAACGTGACAGTGCAGTGACTCACGGCCTCTGATCTTCTATATAAACAGTGAAATGTTGAGAGCTGCTGCCAAGAAGAAAAACTCAGAAGAACCAAATCAACCAGACCAATCCAGAAGCTTCTTTTTTTAATCCTTTTCTGGCGTCTTCTTCAATGAATTAACTTTTGATTCAGTTTGAGCTTTTGTTGGCACAGTTTCTATTGTCTGCACAGACATGGAAGTCATCACGACTCATGCAAAGTATTTCCCAAACCAAGTTTTTCTTCGGCTTGTGTTTATTCAGGACATGGGAAGTTATAAACAAGGCATTTATGGACTATGCACCTGCGATGTTGCTGCAACAAAATGTTAGCTGGTTAAAAGATATAATGATGATGATGATGACTTTTAGAAATGCCAAAAAACATTCCATACCGATTATGTGATCAGCTATGTTCGTTTAGTGCCAAATCAGAAAGCAGCTTCCAGAGAGCATCTTTAATCATTTTTTTCATCCCAACAGCTGGAACGTCTGAAAGTTAGCAAGTGTCCAGTGTTAGTTGGTTTTAACTGGACAAGATGTATTGTTGTGTGTAACGATTGTCCTTTTCATCCGGCCGCTCTGCAGACGAGGGTTTACAGAAAGTAAAAGTGATGACAGAGGGGGAGTGAAGGTGCCAAACCGGAATCAGAGCAGTTGTGGACAATAAAGCATGAAGTAGTATGTATAGTATGTGTATTAACCACTGGGCCGCCTGGTTTCTCATACATGATGGCTATTATGTTGTGGTTATTGACAGTAAGCGCATGCAAATGCACACACGGTATGTGTTTAGGGCAAAAAAGTAATGATCAGTGCAAGCAGAAAAATAGCAACTACAGATTAATGGTTGGAAAAAATGCAAATGAGGGTTCTGCTGACATACACAATCTACAGTTCCAACATTATAATATGATCGGTCAAATATATAAATGAAAATAGGGCAAAAAACAATATAATAAAACTGTGAGGGCATTTGAAAGGATAATATTACATACATTAAAGTGAAGAAATAATAAAAACAAAATGTGCAGTATAAAATATGGTGAAATGTAAGACGTATAAAAAGGGATCATTCTAAATGGAAGTTGACACGAGAATTGAGGAGGAAATGTAGTGTGTTGTGCAAAAAAAACTGCATCGTGCTTGCATTAACAGTTGCGGAGGTCATGTACAGTGTATGTTCAGATAAGAATGCACTGTGGTAAAACGCATTACATTTCTGCGCCGACGCATCATGAATCATGAGAAAGCAGTGGTCAGTTTGATTCAGGGCGCAGAATAAATGGATGGTGTTCCAACCGCCTGAGAACGCGGCTCACATCTTGAAATCATAAATTCACAATCCATCCTGGTCCTTTTCAAAAAACGTAGTGACTGCTCCGCTGTGATGGATGATGGTTTCAGCAAATGTCGAGAGCAAGTTTGGAGTTAAAAAGGACAATTTTCTGGTAGTAATCCAGCTTCTGAGTACACAACCTCAAAAAAAATAACTGCCAACACTATCCGCACTGTGTTAGCACATGGCGGAGCGTTTCGTTTGACGTATGACCTTATATTGAATAATCTCTGGTGAGATTTACACCCTCGTGGTGACAAATCTGTAAATTACAAGACAATCTGACAGTGTGTTGTTTGAACAAAACTGTAAATTATGAAATTCTAACTAACCGAGAGCAAGTAGGTGAAACAGAAACATTGGCTTTCTGGGTTGAGATAAAACTGCCATGTTAGAGCTGCGTCTGCACGGACCGTGTTTGGAGCAGCTTATTCATGCTTGGCTGCATTTTTTTCCCCTTTAGGGTGTTGTTAAATTCGGCCCATGATTCATTTGGAGGAGTCATTATTATAGGTTCGATTTCACACACAAGAACCCTTCTGAGGCTTAGGCCGATGGTACAGCATGTATCCGTGCCAGTACTGTACGCCATTTACGTCATATCCATAACACATGGCATTTCTTAAACAAGGAAGATACTTTTCATCATTTTGATGCTGTTTTGGTCCCACTACCGTGCAAAATGCAATTAAAACCAGAAGCGTCTGGAAACATAACCCATCTGATGCAGCATTACCTAGAAATAAGCCGCATTTCTAGTGTGAGAAGATACTTGACAATGAGCCTTCACTACATGCTTATTTTGTGATGAGGAAATGATTGTTGATCGTGACTGATGGATGCTATAATTATATCAGCATTCACTTCATTCTCTGTCCAGCTGCAGCTTGCGAAACGCGAAACATGAGCACCATTTTTTTTTTTTTTTTTTAGGAGGAACTGAGTCCAATTTTGAGTTTGACAGCAGCTTTCACACATCAGGAATTGTACCAAATTCTAGGAGGTTGAAAACGCCCTGAGTCTAGGAAGAACAAAGACTTTTTAACTCTGGAGGACAGTCCAGACAAGTACTACACCAAAAAGGTGACAAAATGCAGGAGATGACATGAAGACAAATGGTAACATCTGGCTGCTTGGAAAGCCACGTACAACAAAACTACAAGAAGAAGAATCTGGACTCGTGCTTACAGGCGGCTACTTAGAAACATGTTCTCAGCTGAAAAACCACAGACGAGAGAGACAAAAAAGACTGGACGTAGTTTGCTGTTTGTAACGGATTCTTTAACGTGAGACGTCACAGAAACTGTCTGGTATTTAAGCAGCTTATTTGTCTCTTGATTTGTCTTTCAAAGGAAAATGAACCCAATACAAAACTGCAAGAATAGAAACCTTTCCGCTGTGATTCAGACCACAGAACACAATCTCTAGGCGTGATCTAACGCTGTACGGATTAGGAGTCCCGCTCCATATGTAGACTAACAGGCAGAGCAAGGCACCGACACCAACTGGGTTAGAGGTTCAACTCCCAGTGGGGCCACACATTTTAAAAATGTAATGCTCTCCTGGTGCTATACGGAGCCTCTGATAAAAGCCTCCCCCAACTGGCTTACATTACACACACTGTAAATTTAAGCTTCCACGTTTACATGCACACAATAGGTGTAAAAAAAACAGAAGACTTGTGCAACAGCTCAAAGCGCACGGCAAACACTGTGTTACAGGATGGGTGATGTTCTTTTAACGAGCCGACAGGAGATATCGGTGTTCGAAGGGGTTACGAGGTTGTGTGTATCCAGTGTCTGGGTGCCTCGGTTCAAAGTTGCCGCTGTCTGGTCGAGGTGGCCAACAGCTAGACAACAGAATTTATGGTGTAAAGACTGATAAGAGCTGAACAAATAAACGCAGACACACACCTCTCACTCACTCACTCAGTCAATCGCTGCCAATGTGTGGGTCTGCTCAGACTGTGGAGGAGGAGGAGGAGGAGGAGGAGGAGGAGAACGTGAAAGGAGGAGGAGGGGAGCTGCCAAACTGTGTGTTGACCGTATGGGTGTGTGTACATGTGAGACTGAGTGAGGCTGGGAAAGAACAAAAGTGACTGATGACATCAGATGATGAAAGGTTACAGAAAACCAGCTGCAAAAAGCAACGCAAGATTTTCCTTAAAAATGCAGTCACTGTATTGCTATAAGATACACCCTTCAATTCTTTCCTTTGTTTTTTATTGTTGTTTCAGTAGATTTACAGATTTCTCGAGCACCGCACAAGGGATCCAAACAACAAAACATACTGGAGTTGGTGTGTCAGATTTGCTTTTTCCTTACATGTAAAAACTCAAAACCTGTTGGTTTTCCACAAACTTGCAGTGATCAGACACCCTCTGAAGTGATGGAAGAGCATTCACTCATTCGTCATGCCTTAACGCTGTGGGAAATCATAAGCAGAGGCAGAGACCCCAGTGACAGATACATCAAATACACCAGATATCATCTGGGGTGAAGAAAAATAGCATGTTTTGTTATTTTACGTAAAATCCCCCATTGATCAGACGTCTACTGTGTGTTTAAAAAAAAATAATAGCCACAATATTCTGAACTAACAATAGACAGGCGAAGGAAAAAGAGGTTCAAAAAGATATACAAACACACACACAATGACAATAAACACAAAGAACAGCTGCTATTAACTGACCCATGGGTTCAAGGACGAACTGGTCCTGAGTGACGGCGAGAGGAGGCTGGACACCGATGGTCAGCTTAGAGGACTGTACAACACTACTGGCCTTCACCGTCACCTGGAGAGAGACAACAATGATGAGATGTGGAGATTATGATGAGTATCCATCCAGCCATCCATTATCTATACACCGCTAAATCCGCACTAGGGTCATGGGGGGCTGGAGTCTGTCCCAGCTGACTCAGGGTGAAGGCAGGTTCACCTGGACAGGTAACCAGTCTATCACAGGGCTACACTTAGAGACAGACAACCAAGCACACTCACATTCACACCTACGGACGGCTCACCTGTATGGTCACTGAGGGGACAGGCAGACCATCGATGTCTTGGATCAGAGCTTGCTGTGGACAGAGATTAAGAGGATGATGAGCCTGCGTGTGTGCATGCTGGTAAACGTGATCGCACATCTGTACCAGTGTGTTTGTTTACCGATGGACTGTCTATGCTGGAGGACACAGCAGTTGTAACAGACAGGTCCTCCTCAGCGTCAGTTTTGGGCAGGATGTCTGAAAAAACAACAGATACAGATTTCAAAATGCTGAACGAGAGATGTTTCTTTTTTTTAAGATCTCACAAATGCAAGTGATTAGATTTACAAAACTAGAATGACTTTGCAAGCAAACATTTTAAGAAGTCGTGTGCTTTCTTGTGTCTGCAAACATTCGATAACAGTCAAAAGTCATGACAAATATTTAATGAATTAATTATTTCAAGACTGTTTAAACAGTAGAAATTGCATATATTTGCTCATTACAGCTACTTTAATTAAAACTTTCACTGACTTCAAAACTTTTCTGGCTGTTTGACCATTAAAATACACCATGAATACATCAGTTTGGACCTTATGTGGACATTGTATTGACTTGAAAAGAAAGTATTTAAAGTATTTAACATTCAACTGATCTAAGATTCAACTGGCAGGAATTATAGACAGTGAACAGCCCAGTAGTTGTGCATAAAAAGGAGCATTCTGAGCATTACGCAGTCTCTATCAGGCCTCCATCAGTCTCCTACCCTGGGTCCTGGTGGCCTCTCTGATAAACTTCTGCAGTTTCTTCATCTCAGCGTCCACCTGCTCGTAGTCGGCCTCCCTGGCGTCCACCTTCGGAGTTGAAAAGAACGAAGGGTCTGTGCCCATGTACGAGCACAGGAGATGACCATCTGTACTCAGACTGATCACGACTCCCTTCAGCTCCCTGAGGAGAGGAGAGGAGAGGAGAGGTTAACGTTTCCCACTTCAGTGTGCCATTTGCTATCTGTTAGGAACCTGCACCGAAAATTCCTTTGCTTGCAATTCAACATTAGTTGTTTATTACTTTTAGTACAGCCGGATGTCAAGTTCAACACCGCTTTGTAATGTAGAATAAGTTGATAAGAGTGAGACCGTGAAGAAATGCTGAGTGATGCAATAATGTGTTTTAACTGTGTGTGTGTGTGTGTGTGTGTGTGTGTGTGTGTGTGTGTGTGTGCATGTTAGGTAACTGGTTGCAGATGTGTTGTGTGAGTGTGTATGTGTGTGATTTCTGTTCCAGTCCAGTGAGGCGGTAACACGTACACCCACACACAGACCCACACATGAGGGGGTTCAGGTCGAGAGCAGCAGCCGGCTCCACACCTGCACAGGAGGGTGTCTGAGGGGGCATAAAACTTTCACTTTAACTGCTGCGGAAACACACTTTCTCTCTCTCTCTGATAAATTCACATTCATAGAGACACGACCAACTGCGGCAGAAACACACACATTCATAAAAAACGATAGCTCTCAAGTTCGCTAAAAACACACACACCTTCAACGATCACTGAAAATGAGTTCCCACCGTTTGTACGACAAAGACAAAGTGCTGCGTAGATGGAACAATAATCATTGTGACCCTTAGCATAAAGGTTATCAAAACATTTTCTGTGCGTTACATGATAGGGCATTTCTCTTTAATGCTACATCCCGAATCATGCTGATGCTAACGGAGCATTTTCTCTTCATTATTGTTTCCTAATAGCTTCTTCCAGATTATCTTTTAACATTAAATATGTCAAAATCTTGTTTTTCACAGGTCTGTTTCAGATTGGGCCCATATTTAGACATGTGAAGACCCCTAGCCAAAGAGCAGCCAGATCATTTAATCCGAGTGTTAACAGAATTAAGTAATAAAATTCGAAACTGCATCCAAAAATACAAAGCAAGAACTCCCAGAGCTGTAAATTACAGATAGCCACAGCGATCTGGGGTGACTGTGTGTGTGTGTGTTTGTTTTGCGTGTGATCCTCTCCCACAATCTGTGCAGTGTCCCGGCGACACACCGAAAAACCCCCCCGATGACTATCGAGCGCTTTAAAACAACACAGCCTCGAACTAAACCAAACAGCTACCCAGACACACACTATCTCCTGCATCTAAAACACACATGTGCACACACAGAATCAGAAACCACATCATTTTTCAACCGTGTTTGTGCCTTGCGTTGTAATTGTATCAAATTGCAGTTTGATTGGAGTGGTTTGGAAAGAGCCAAGGGATTGGCTGTTGGCTGGCCCCTCCCCGCTGTGCTCCGATTGGCCAGCTGGAAGACATTGTCGGGGCAATTTTCTGTCAGAAGTCGCACACTGGATTTCACAAGCTGATAAACACGACAACAAACCTGCTGTGTTTACATGTGTGTCCAGCTCCGTGTACTGCACATGTGCTGTCTGCTAGGTGACAAAGTTTGACTTTTAAAACCATCTGAACCCCTCGTTGGTTTCTCAAACCCAGTTCTCTCTCCGCAGTACGGACACAGTGGCATCGGATGTCTTGTTTTGCTGGAGGTTGTACTCACGGGAAGTTGGCAACACGAACAGCCACAGGCACAAAGGAGAGCTGGGCTGCCCACTTCAAAGTCACATCCTGGTAAACCAGCAGCATGTTGGTGTGGTTACCTAGCAACAGGTTTGTGGTGCCATCTGTCACTAAACAAGACCAGAAAGAAATGGTTAGACAGAAGAACCAAGCTACTTTACACATTTTAGTCAAAGTTCCCCTGCAAAGCCACTTAGACTGAGTGCAAAAAAAAAAAGCTTGAATTCTGCCCTGAGGATTAAAGTCTAGCTCAGAGAATGATTCTGGACCTGACCGGGAGAAAAGTTCAGACTGCACTGTATAGTTTTATTTTCTGTTATTTTTCCAAAAAGCAAATTTGTTGTGATGATTCAGGTTAGTGTCTTGCGGCTGGAAACCCGACCTCAGTTTCATAGCGGCACAAATTCAAGGGTTTTGTCTCTGATTTTTAATTTTGGAAAACAGTGGCGCGTATTCACAAATCCAACAACCATGGAGCACAGAAATAACAAATTCCTGTGGTGGGTGGCACTGCCCTTTAATATGAGTGCAACTTGTACTCTCCTGTAAAGAAAAATCATCTCTTTACATTTCACATCTGGTTTGTATATAAAAATGTTGTCGACTAGATCTTTCCCTCTGAGACAAAGTCGGCTTTTATAGGTGTATTTACAACAAAAGTCACATATACACTTTCTCTTGTGACTCATGATGAGAAACATTAAATATAAATACCACTTCTGTTTTACTACTTATGTTTCACGCACACACAAATGTCCAGTCAGAGTCCCACCAATGGCGCAGTTACCACCTAGAGAGATCTGAGGTGACGGCCACACGCAAAACAAACACGCCTCAATCACTCACACAGTTGAATACACAAGTTATAATATAGTAACAGCGGTCAGCAGGGTGGTACGGTGCAGGGGTCAAAATGACAGAGTGTGTGTTGGTGCCACATCAAAGCAAATACACACCTTATATCTCAGCATCAGCCTTATAATTACAATCTAATTATAAAAAAGGTCCAATCTACGTTCTGCCTTCGTTTTCAAGCCGAGCATCTCCTCGACGTCGGCTCCTTTCACCACAACCTTTTCTCTCTCGAACTGTTCAGTGCCTCTTATCTCCACATCCTGCATTCTCTCTCTAACTTGTCTTTTTCCTCGTCTTTTCTTTATCTGCTACTTTCCTTTTTCTTTTCTGCTTCTCGTCTTAGCCCTCCTCAGTTTTCTGTTTGTTTTTTATATATCTGTCTATTCTCACCTGCTTTTTCTAACCCTCTGATCCTTTCAGTTTTTTTTTTAAACCATCTGCCAGTTTCACTCCTTTCCACTCCTCTGCCCTTTCTTCATCCCTCTCTTACTTCTCCTCCTCCTGTTTTCATTCCTTGAAAAGGAAAAGTGGTTCCCATCCACTACCATGTAACCACAATGTTCAGCTGTCACTCCCCTCCCTCTCTCTCGCTCTCTGCTCGCTCCTATTTTCCATGTGTCTCTATTACATTCTGTTAAAAAAGTGTGAGAATACTAAGGAATCATTTTCTAAAATCCAAGAAGAGCCATATTTTTAACTTTGTATGTTCCTATTTTGTTATGATTTTGCATCGTAATGGGTTTTAAATATAAACTGTGATGCAGATTTAAGTGGTAAATTAACAGAAAAGTCTCGTAAACTAGTCCCTCTCTTATTTTATACTTTTTAAACGATGGTGGAAAGCACTGCCTGACAAAACATCTCAAAAACTCCCCATAGAAGTTCAGCTAAATTAAGATCTGACAATGACTCACACTAACCGAAACATGCAGTGATTGTGCCCTAATCTGAATTAATCCATACCTGTCCATCTTATTATGGCTGGCATGCAGGAGTTTAGCTTTAGTTTAAGGGTTTCTGATGGGCAGTGAAGCCAAAAAAAAAGGTACAAGACAAAAACAAAAAAACAAAAAAGAAAGAAAGGACCAGACAGACAGAGGGAGGCAGACTGGGAGGGTGCAGGCACTGGTCCAGCAGAGGCAGCTGTGAGGATGAACGCCAGAAGGCGAGCATCAGGAAACACTCAAGAGATCACAGTTGTCTATCTTCCTCTGCACTACACTCACAACAATGAAGGCTCTATAGAAATCCACTTAATGGGGTTGCATAACCAAATAGCCCTTTCTGAACACTGGGTGGCAGCTCCAACTGTCATAGTGTCACTAAATATCAGCCTTTTCCCAATAAACTCGAGCGTGCACTCGGTTTAGAGCGGTGACTGTAGCAGCAGTCTGCTCCTGGGAGTTGTAATCTTCCAGCCATGTGGGAATTTTTATGCGGTTTTGATTGTTGACAGGAATCATGTCCCAATAAAAGCTGCTTTTGTTGCGCTGGCACATCACGCATTGAACTTACAGACAATTTCCAAGAGCGATTTAAATAATCTAAATAGCAGATAGTGTAGGGCACTTTGAAAGCTGAGATATTTTAATTCTTAAATTGAAAACAGATATCAGGAGAAAGCTCTTGGCCATTCTTGCGATCCCACCATAAATCCTCCCTCCTGGATCTTTCCCCTATTCTATTTTTTGCTTCGTTTTTTTTTTTACATCCTTTTTTTTTTTATTTTCTCTTTCCATCCGTCAGTGTATTTCAAATTAAATGGGTCTACAGTACATTGTTACGTAAACTGAACCAGACAAATACACTCTTGTTGCTGTAAAGGACACTTAGAAAAATGTTTTTATTGCTCCATGCTGCGTGAGGGTAATACGCCTAACTTTACCTCTACTGTATTTAATCATCATTGTGGAAGTTCAACTGTTGTCAATAAACAGGGTAATATTTCTCACATTTTTGCACAAACTATATACAACAGTAAAGCTCCCCCCCCCCCAAGATGCCAGGCTAAATTAAGCGCTCACAAACCAAGAGAGTGATTTTGTAGTGCTGTTGCAAGCACTGTTGTCCAATTAACAAGATTTATCGGAAACGAAAAAGAGCCTGAAAAGTCAGAAAAATAGTTTCTGGACGCAGAAAGGATTTTATACAAATAAATGAAAGGTTTCTCAAGCTACACCGGCTTTGTAGACAACCACAACATAAACTAGAGCAACCCCAATAACCCTCTTAAAATGGATATATGACCGTGCAGATCATAGGCTCTTCCCACTCTGCGCAGACTAAAACTAATAAATTCACATTTGCCTGTTAGTATACAGTACGTGTGTGCACATGTTTTTTGTGTATGTTCTCATGTCATCTGTGCTAAATCACCACAATCAAGCTGCAATCTGAGACAGTTGCCTGGCTAATTGCTAATTATTGAATTATGTGGCTTCATGTTTGTGTGGAGACTGAATTCATTCATACATTCAGATGCAAGCTTTCAGTAAAGGTGTCCCCGAGTGCGCATTCAAAATACCAGTTTGTTAGGTTTCCCGCCTCCTTCCTCTCCTTCCTCTAACAAGCTGAAGACCCATTTAAGATCCTTATCCGGAGTAACTCACAAAACCACTTGTATGATCCACTCGAAGTCTCAAGCAATACACCTTTAGTGCTATTTGTGTGTGTATAAGAAGCAGTGTTTCTCGCCTTAGATGTGATGGCCTTTTTAACAGCAGACAGCAAAGTTAGCAGACTTCTCCACAGTCACCGTATTATCCATCACTTTCTCTCCCTCTCTTTCCCCATCAGAGGCGAAGACAGGGAGAGGTGTTCAAAGCTGGAACCCATTACAGGCCTGTAGCTGTGCTGTTTTCCTATACAGCAGACACATGCACATACTTATGAGAGTGTTGTCTATAGCCTCCTTCAGACATGCCCTCCTTTACATTAGTCTGAGGGCATCCAAATGTGTCATGTCTGAATGAGCACCCTGGTCAACTTTCTGTAAAAGTTGCAACAATAAGTCTTAATAGTTAAGACCTAGGAACATTTCTACATTATTTTCTTTCTACACGGCACAAGTCTGAACTCCGAATCAGCAAACACAATTGACATACTTAAAAGTGTTTGTAGGAGTCTGTCCTCTGACTTTATTACATAAATTTGAGTTCCCCCACAGCTAGAGAGCTGCACGCATGAGCAACAACAAAATTAACTTAACTCCTTATTAAAAATTAAAACTGATAACCGACTAGACAGGATCAAATATCAGGTCACACTTCTCGCCACATGAGACAGGTGAGCTGTCACACGCAGCATCACAGTTCATGAGCTTCTGCTTCACTGTTCTGAGCCATTTTGCACCAAGCAGTAATTTTCACGTTTTTTGAAAAAAAAAGCAACAAACAGCAGTCAGACACAGAGAGTAGCCGTTGAACACAGTGAAGCAATTAGCAGCTAAAAAGCCAGATACTCTAGTCTATAGGGCTACTGATTGAATACTGACAAACACCAAGAACACATCACATCCTTCAAATTCTTCCAGTTATGTATAGAACTAAACTGAAGACCCTTACTTCTAGTCTGTAAGTCTTTCAGTGATCAAGGCCCAAAATACATCAGTGATACGGTTACTGATTCATAACGAACATGGTGGAGTGGCTTTTAGTGAAGCCCACCACTGAAATCATTAAAACTTAAATAAACCAAGTTCAGCCATTTTTAAAACTAAGCTAAAGATTTAGCTGAAGACTTATCTTAGTTTTTTTTCCCCACTGCTTTGAATTAATGCAACACTTTGAGATATTTCTAGATTTGGTTTAAAAATGTCAGTACCTTAATGAAGGCTATCTGGGATTCATTTATTTGAAGTTTAATCTTTGAATCTCTTATTTTATGTATTCTTTTAATTTGAATTTGAATATTTACACAGTTTTTCTTGCTTTTTTAAACATGGTAATGCATTATATAACATACTTTGAACTGCCTTTGTATAGGACATTTGCTATACAAATAAACTTGCCTTTCTTATTGTGGTTTTAAACCTTATAATGCATTTTCAGGATAATTGTCTTTTGTAGGTTTATGTTGGACTAACTCTTAACGTAGAACACAGCAGCAATATTCTGTACATAACTATTTCACATAGTTGCACAGCTGTATGTTTTAATGCTTATGTGCTACTAAATGTTCTGTAGTCTGTTAAGTCTTTGTTTTAATGCATGTAGCTGAGCTACTCCATTTATTCCATCATTTTCTGCCAAAGGCAGCTTCTTGCAGAGCCAGTCATGTGGCAGTGTGCCACTGCACAAAATACTTTGTTTTTATGTATTTCATTCACTTATTTTCAGACGTTTGGTTGTGGCAGGTGCACTGATGCATACTGAATTTTGTGAGTCTGCCCTGTACTTCCCTTCAGGCTGAACCCATCTCAGCTTTGCCAGTGCTGCAATGGCGAAATGTGAAACTACTCAGCTCTCTGGAAGACAAGATTGTGTATCCTTTAAGAAGAACAACAACTTTTCTTTCCCATTTTTATCTTCCCTTTTTATCTCAGGTGATTTCTGATTAGCTGCCAGATGCTAAGGGTTAAGACATGTTAGCTTGAGAGTGATTTAACATGTCCTGTGACTTCTGAACTCTTGCTGTCTTTCATAAGTGATGCTACCGCTTGAACTTTGTGTTTCTACAGAACAGCCTCCACATTATTCACCACCTTTCAGGGTAAAATCTAATTTGGACTTAAATGCATTCATCTGGCAACTAACACTGTTCTGCTGCAGCCAGAGAAACATGATTGGAATTTTATTTCCTCTTTAAAACTCTATAACCAATGTTTTCCATCCCTTTCCATTCATCTGTCTTCAATAGATGTCTGTTAAATCATTACTTTTACACACCTAACCCAATTAAGGGCTACACGCTCTGCCCTTTCCAAATAGATCCGTTTCTGCTACTCAGCCAATCAGTATTAAGTCCTTAACTGGATCAAGTGTGGAGCAGTAGGGCTGAAAAAAATCTTGTAGGACAGAGGACCATAAGGACTGTAAAGGGGAAATGTCCCTTTATAGCTAGGGGTCGCTTTGGCTGCTGCACTCCCTCAGCTAAGCAGTCCCTAAACCTCCAGTGTTCTGGTTTACCTGAGGCGTAGGGCAGGAAGCAGCTGGGGTTGAACTCCAGCTTCTTCATGAAGCGAATCTGCCCGTTGTCACGGAGACAGTAGAGGTTCCTCTCACCCAGTATGAAGATGGATGAGGAGGAGTGGGAGAAGGAGGGTACAGAGAGGTCCAGGGCCTGTTCTCCCAGGACAAAGGTCCAGTCAGGCTGGAGGAGAACACAAACAGGCAAAGTTACACTTCTTTAATACAGGAGTGAAACATGCACTGTTTGAACACCCTTAATAGTTTTTTAGTGGCCAAATTCCTTCTAATTTGACAAATTGATGAAAACATCCAAGTATTACAAATACAGAAAAAGACACCTTCGAAACACACTGACACTGTATATTTCTAAAACCTCTTGATTCTTTCTTTTGTGCTGCTCTGGGGATATTTACATTACATGTATGTATATTTGGATCCCACTAATTGTTTACATCTGACTGGGGGATACCAAATCCCAAAGATTTCTATATGTTAGTGTGTTTAGGACTCACCGCCAGCCTCTTGCCTCCTGTCTTGAGGGGTAAGTCGGGATCCTGTCGACTCTCTGCTTCAGTAGCTACAGCCAGAGTTTCATACCTGTGAGTTGGAGAGACACAAACAGCTACTTATACAAACACGCCGAGTGTCTGGGGATCACTTTCGGATTCCTGTTGAAGTGCTGTCAGAGTGCCGTTTGTTGCTCCGTGTTTTATGTGTTGAAAGTTGTTTGCTGAGCTGTTTTTGTGAACTCCTGCCAAGCTATTTCAGATATGCAAATGCATCAAACCTAGACACATTCAAGCAGATGATAGTAGATGATTGAATGCTGCCTTTTCATTTTCAGTTTAGATACAGTTACATACACTTAGATAAAGTCGAACGCTGTAGAACATGTTCAAAACTGATAAAACTCTGCTCGCATCTAACACTCCCCCTTCTCCTTTACAGCTTCTGTCAGGTCAGTCAACACACCGCTGACCCACCATTCCCCGGAACTGCGGTCTATCAGTTTTAATCAGTGAGCTGTTGGCAACTGGCTGAGAATAAAGCGGTCGGACTGATCTGTGGTCAGTTGATCTTGGCATCTGCAGCATCAAGCATTTTCCAGTAAGAAGCTGGCAGTCAAAGCGGCTTGGCGGGAATCTACCCTTCTTCTCTAACACCTGGATGAACAGAGAACACCAAACCCCAAACCCAGCCCGACTCCGAACCGCAGACCAAACACTAAATAACTGCTGATTTATCCGCTCAGTTTTCTCACTCTGTTGCACATTTGGACCACAAAATTGTTGTTAATCAAGGCAGGCAGGTCTGAAATCTACCTTAAATCGCAAGAACCATAATCCAATATGGCTGTCACATTATGGGCACTGCTGGTGATTCATAGCAGCTATGTTTTTATTTGGGAGAGCTGTGACTGACTGCTCGTTTTCCTTCGTGGGACAACAGCGTACATCGACTGCACGTACAAATATAAAACCTTTTTTACCATGTATACTGATGTTTATGCTATCAGGCTTTTAGAGAAGGTCCTTTACTCTGATTTAGAAAAATATCGATTATATTAATTGCTTCAAAATGTTGCACATATCTAAAAACTTTGGTGATCCCTTGACAGTATTTCCTGTAGTGTTGCCACCAGGTTAAAAATGTATATGTCCAGGGCCGCCACTATAGCTCACCTGGTTGACCTGGTGACCCATGTACAGGGGCTATAGTCCCCAATGCAGCAGCCATGGGTTCCAATCCCGCTCATGGCCCTTTGCTGCAACCCCTTCCCCCACTTTCCTGTCTCTCCTTCAGCTGTAATTGAAACTAATAAAGGCCAAAAAAATAACTTAAAAAAAAAAAAAAGTATTTGTCCAATATGTTAGTTTGGGACCAAATACCTGCATGCAAATGATGTTCCAAATAGCCTCAGCCATTATTTGTGCTGCAAATTAGCAAATGGCAGCATGCTATTGGCCTAAGGCTTATTTACTAAACATTAGCATGTTAGCATATAAGCACAGCGCCACTGGACTGGCTGTCAATCATCGTTTTGCAGGAATGACTTTAGTTTAGTCGTGCTTTTAGTGTCTACACGCTACATCCTCAAACTTTCTTGAGGATTAGGAAGTACAGAACCAGGGCACAGCTTTGGTACACACTGAAGGCTGCTTGGTCTCCTGAATGGCCCATTACAGTTTAGATTTTCTGAAAAGCAAAACATAAATAAATTTTTAAAAATGAAATTGAAAATAAATCACATTTCAGGCGCTGTCACCGTCCACGCATGGGTTCTTGTAAGGACTATTGCTTCCTTGTTTTGGTTAAATTCTATTTATTTTTTCGTACAGAACAGAAAGCCATCAGATCCCTGCCCATTTAATTGCCTGAACAACATTTTATACCTGAATAAATCTGATTACCATATGTGACCCAAAAAGTGATATTAATTCAACATAACACTTGTGTATAAATAGTAAATGAAGTGTTGTAAACTCTGAGTTTTGCAATACAACGCCAGATTTATAGTTTTGAACTCATCCGTACAGTAGCAGGACCCGCTGCTGAGCTCGTATGAGAAACGGCGAGCAGACTAATGAGCTTTATGGATGACTGCCAGTAAAGAAACCTTTTCATCACGCCGTGACCATTTCCTGGGGAAGAAAATGGACTAAAAAATATATTAAACATGTCAGGGGTTTTAAGCTTTTAAAGCAACACTCAATGGATCGACAGGCAGGCTCGAGTGAATGGTTTAAACTCAGCCTAATAATACTAAAACAACACTATGAAATAACTGTATTCTTTCATTCTGTTTTGATATTTCAATTCCACCCTTCATTTAGATGTTTTACTAATGATGGGGAATGAGGCAGCATTAATGAATTAAAAGTGAACATGTGCGTGGGTGTGTGTGTGACTTTGTGTGTGTTCAGCTCCATCCATCAGTATTTGGTTAGATGTTGATTTAAGCATTATGAAAGAAGGCAAAAATCACACAAAGCCCTGTGTGTATGACAGAAAAATGTGAAAAACCACAGAAATTTGATTATTCATCAGAATGCCCAAAGGAAAAGAAGACAAACACATAATCATCATAGACAGTTGTATACACACATACTCTTTTTTTGTGTGTCCATTTAAAAGGCGTTTATAGTGTGCACTCTCATGCAATGGACAATTTCGGTATGGGCTGACTTTGTGTGTACAAGTGTGTGTGTAGGTGGTATCAGTCATCATGCAGAGTTTAGGACACTGAGGTTGAGGAAACAGTCACCTCATTTATATGAAAGACGATCTCTCTGAAAAACACAAACAAACACACTCATTTACCTTCAACATATACATCACACAAGCATATACATACACGCCGCGCGCCCCCACGGACGCGCACACAAATTGTGCAAACACACTACGTGCACATGCTTCCTCGGTGTCATGGATAAACACAAACTAAAATCTGAAAGCTGACGCCAACGCACACACACACACACACACACACATGCACACAGAGTAACCAAATCAAGCTCTCATTCATCAGAGCAGGAGAGGGTCCAACAGGCTAAATAAACTGAGCGAGGCAGAACAGTTTGACCAGTCATATGATATTAAATGTATAACAGCCAGCGAAGCCCTGACCCCGTCATCTGATATGGAATATATATATATATATAACAGTCTGTAAAGCCGTAACACATCAGTGCCGGGTTGTATAAAAGGGTGAACCAATCCTTTAAGTGCGTTACGATAAAAAAATCTAAAGCAGACTCCCATCAATATCGAGAGGTTCTGCATGGTCAAAGCAAAGACCCGAGAACCAGAAAAAACACATCACAATAATCAAATGCCATCACAGAGATTAAATATTGTATTAATTCACAGCATGACAGCGCTTAGAAATCGACATCCAACCCGAGTAAAAATCCAAGCAAAACAGTCTGTTTTTTATTTATTTATGCGTAATTGATAAGTGTTTAGCTCAAAGGCCATCAACCCTTTGATCTCATCTTGAAGCATTTTAGTTGAAACATTATTTGTTAATGCTTTCCTCGGACGGCACAGTGAACGCATCTGCTACTTTGCTGCTAACTCATTTCCTGCTGCTGTTTTGTCATATCAAAAGCATTTATTGTGTATGAGGGACCTGGAGTTTATCACCAAAGTTGGCGTAATCCACGTGCATCGCTGCAATTGTTCGCCATCACTTCATCGACACAGTCGCTTATATGCGGCGCTCTTTCTAAGCGGATCGTTTTTAGGCCAAGTAACCTGTGTTTGGAAAAGGTTGCTAACAGGACAATAAACGCTGAAGGTCATTACAACATGTTTGCACTTATTCGCACATGTCATGAGTAATTTGGCTTTTCACGTCATTGGACATGACGACAGGAGGAGGATAGAGTCACCGACCCTGTGTGTTGATTTTGAACCCCCTGAGTTAGTCATCTGGTCAAAATCCCAAAAAAATAAGACTGTGATGCAGTCATTTAGATGTTCCATCCATCCATCCATTATCTATACACCGCTTAATCCTCACTAGGGTCGTGGGGGGGCTGGAGTCTATCCCAGCTGACTCAGGGCGAAGGCAGGTTCACCTGGACAGGTCACCAGTCTATCACAGGGCTACACTTAGAGACAGACAACAAACTCACAATCACACCTACGGACAATTTAGAATCACCAATGAACCTCAACGTGTTTTAGGGAGGAAGCCGGAGAACCCAGAGAGAACCCACGCTGCACGGGGAGAACATGCAAACTCCACGCAGAAAGATCCCGGATGTCCGAACCGGGACCCGAACCGGCAACCTTCTTGCTGCGAGGCAAAAGTGCTAACCACCTGCGCCACCCTGCAGCCCTCTTTGCCTCCAGCTTGCTTTAAAATTCATTTATTGAAATCAGCTCTTTCAGCCAATTCTGCAACTGAATCCATGGCCGCCTTTTTCTCCAATGCAGTACAGGATCTGGGAACAAATTGCAATAATAAATCCTGGGAATAAACACAATAGCTTCACATATTTTTTGGCTGTAGATGTGAAGAAAGCAGACCAAAGCGAGCTTTATAAATTAGAACACACCAATGACTGAGTCTACAGCAGAACAAGGCTGACCGTCCCAACTCGAGCGTATAACACGCAATGGTAAGTAAGGGATTTACGATTTGTAATTAACCTCAGTGCTCCTTGGTGGACTGCTTACAATGCATGCAAGCATGTAAAGGAAATAACAAGACGGTTGCTATTAGTGATGCAGTGTTATCTTTTATGTGAGGGTTCTCTGTGTCTGGTGGGCTCTGTAATTTACTACAGTATGTGCATTGCAGGGCCGCATTTGTGCGACCAGGGAGAGTAGTGAAGTCAGTGTTTCCACTAAGATATCTAGTCTGGAGAGTCTCTTTTTACTGGTGGGGGGCACCTAGATAACAAACAGCTGGGAGAGAAAACTGCACACATGCATAACTTACACCCACACAGTCTGTAGGACTTCTAAAAGATATGCCTCAGCCAGAGGGAATGGGAAGCGTGCATGCGCTTACATTAAAGTGAAGTGCTTTCCGATCAAACCATGTGTGCACGTGTGTGTGTCTGTGTGTGTGTGTGTGTGTGTGTGTGTGTGTGTGTGTGTGCGCACGCGCGTCTGTTTTGGTCCATCCAGACAAGCTCTGCAGTGAGAACAGATGCCTTGAAGATGGTGAAGCTTTAGTCAGCGCAGCTCACTAACCATCGGCAGCTGATGCTGAGGAATGACATCAGATAACCTCAAATAACTTTATGCTGCTACAGCCTACAGATTAATACTTGTAAATTTATGTGTGTTCATTTTAATAACATGCTTTGTCCAGTTCAAGAATAAAACGTCAGCGTTTTATAGCATTTGCACTAAATTACATGGACATTTAGACGAGGTTAATTGCATCAAGACATTCAGACGATTCACCTTAAGCCCTTCCATATTGGAGGTTCCTGCACTGGGACCAGCCTGTTTCTGTTATAAAATGCAACCTGCAGCATTTTTCAAAGGTGACCAGGTGTGACACATTCACTGTAGAGATGGTTAAGTGTTGCTATGACTAAATGTGTTTGTTGTGCTTCATTTCTGTTGCATCTCGTTAGGTAGAGCTGCAGTTGAGACTCACAAGACTCACTTTTACAGTTTATTCCAAACTGTTTGCATTTATTGTAAGTCTTGTACGATTTTATGCATTGGATTTCATTTACTTGCGCTATCCATTTTTATTGTGAGTCATTTTCTATCTTTGCTCTAGAAAGGTGCTGCATAAATAAAGTTATCTTAATTATAATAACATCGGTGTTAATGACTTAAGTAGGTCAAGTCAAGGTGCTTTTAAATGGGAGCATGTCTCATGTGACCTCTTCTTAAAACAAAGATAACAGACATTTGACCTACATTATGATAAAATAAACATTATAGGCAACATTGAAACACACAAAAACACACTTCTGAAAGCTTTTTAATTCGCTAAACATCTTCCGCTCACTGTGTTTCCTACGGATCCTTTCTGTTTCAAGTGAGCGTGACATCAAGTTGCTAATATTATAGTTCAAGGTTGTGTTTAAAAAGAAAAACCTACTTGTAGCTCTCCAGCTGGCGTGCAGAGGACACAGTGAGGAAGCTGTCAGTTCTGGGGTTGTACATCAGCGGGCCGGGCAGCAGAAAACCAGGAAGGAACCTGCCAAAGGAATAGCTGTCCTGCTCGAAGAACATCAGCATCCCATCCATAGATTGGATACACAGGGAATGGTGACCTGACGGAGAAAGAGGAGAAAGGAAAGGAGACGATCACTTCATTTGATTCCATTAAGACCAGAATTATACAAACCGTTGCCATTTACAATATGGAATTTCCTGTATGGTGTTCGTAGCTGCGGTCTTACAACTACAGAGAAATTTATTTTGAAAAGCATCAAAGCTTACGTTAGCCTCTCGCGGTAATTTCTCCTTTAGAGATAAGGGCAACGAGAATACCAAATACCACATGCACACTCCCCCGTGGCTCATTTACTTAGCTGATTAATTGATTAGTCAAACAACAACAAGTTACGTGCTTTATCAAGGACGCGTGTCAAACATTCTCCAAATACAGCATCTCCGAATGTTTATGAATGCTTTCCGGTGTTATTTAGAGCTGAAAAACTGAATATGTTTGATGTACCTTTGAACTCTGAGATGTTAATTGTCTGATATTGCACAGACTGATTAGCGATTAAGATTGACGGACTAATCTGTAATGAAACAAGTAGGAGATTGACGTGAACATGGGTTGGTGTCAATCCAATATAACGTACATTTCGTGCAGTGATGGGCAGCCGGGGTTTGAACTGCTCTCCCAAGCTTTCCTTCATCCTCCTCCATCACTTTTTGTGTGAACAACCAAGTTCAACACCACGAACATCTTTGAAGAGTGATTATCTCAAAGTGCGCTCCATTATCCACAATTCATCACGCCTGGTCGCTCTCTGTGACAGCAGGCTTTTAGCTCCACCATTCGAAACAGGTCCACACACTCTGGCCTTTAGACGGGGTCAGACGGCATAGCAAACAACTTAGTTCATTTGAAGCTTTTTATGCTGCTTTACCCACATTCCTGTACTTTTTTTCCCCCCCTCGAAGACAGTGTACGCAAGAGAAACAGGAGCAAACAGGATCACTGGTGGCTTAAAAGGCATTTTCTGCTGTATGGCAGCTCTCACTCTGCTGTTTAAGAAAAAAAAAATATTATATTCAAACACCAACAATCCTGGATGTCTTTCATGGCTTCTGTTTTATTTCAGCCGTGATGTCGTGTTGTGCTGCGAGGTACGTTTCTCCCTCTGGCTGAATCTGATATCTCCATTAACACCTCCGCACACACACACACACACACACACACACACACACCTGGCTCCGGGTATGAATGTGTACCAGAGTGTGTGTTTATTAGGAAAGGCCCTGATGTAGGACATACTAAGCCCCGACACACAAAACACACAGCAACACACATGGCCATAAAGCAGTGGGGCTGTGTGACCAGAGAACTATAATTAGGCCTCAATGCGCTATTAAAACTCACACTGCCATCAACTAGAGGTCAGGGAGACAGCCACCTACAGCGCAACACACACACACACACACATTTAACATCTATCACCGAGGATTTAGACAGAAAAGCCGCACACTCCTACACACCTATACTGCGTAAACACGTGAGGGTGTGTGTGTGTGTCTGTGTGCATCTGAGTGATGAGCGGCCGTTCAGGGTGGCCGTTAACACACTGAAGGACAAGGTCTCTAACGCCGCCAACACGCCTCTCGAATACAAGTGTGTTAGAAACAATGTTTGATAATGAGCCAACAGCAAATGTTAAAGGAGAATGTCTACGTTGCATATGGGAGGCTCAAGTGTGTGTTTCTGCGTGTATGTGTGTGTGTAAAGTTGATAAAGTCGTCTGAAGACTGAACGCTTTATATTCGGCTCAAAATTGCCGATGATGAATGTCTGCTGTGCAACTTTCCTTAATGTGGAAAATGTGTGGAAATAGATGAGCTCTAGGCCGTCGTGGTGTTGACAGCGTCTTGTCAACACTGGAGTTGTGTATTATTTTAAATTATACCTAAATTATGATGGTTCTCATTTAAATGTCATTAAAATAAAGTTAAAGCCAGCTTTACTGTCTGTTGATTTAGGCTGCCCAAAACAGCAATTTCCTCTAAACAACAACATAGTTTTCGTCTTTTTGGTAATTTTTTTTTTTTTTTGATTGACTATCTGATGTCTTGTCATGCAAAAGTAAAATGATGTCCATTTTCCACTTTTTGTACTTGCATTTGCTTATTCTTGGGTATTATGATAATGATAGGTAACATCAAGAATGCAGGCTCTATCAAAAATGTCATCAGAGACAACTTTCTGCGTTGCATTTTATCGTTAATGTACAAAATATAACCTGACACTTTGAAAAGTTTGTATGACCAAGGTGAGTTCCAAAATGTGTTGTTTTTGGGGGTTTGTAAATTCCTGATAATTTCCTTAGATGTGTTTTAAAAGGAAGTGTAATTTGGAATTTTTTAGACATAAGACAAAGTCTGTTTTCAATGTGGATGTGTCCAGTTATTTTAACGTATGTAACCTGCTAAATATCAAAGAGAGTTTTAGTCTGTGCACAGTACGCATGGTCAATGTGCAAAACATAAAGCATACACCCATCCATTATCTATACACCGCTTCATCCTCACTAGTGTCATGGGGGGCTGGAGTCTGTCCCAGCCGACTCAGGGTGAAGGCAGGTTCACCTGGACAGGTAACCAGTCTATCACAGGGCTACACTTAGAGACAGACAACCAAGCACACTCACATTCACACCTACAGACAATTTAGAATCACCAATTAACCTCAACATGTTTCTGGACCTTGTGGGAGGAAGCCTGACAACACAGAGAGAACCCACGCTGCACGAGGAGAACATGGAGACTCCACGCATAAAGATCCCGGGTGTCCTCACCGGGACGCAAACCGGCGTCCTTCGTGCTGTGAGGCAACGATGCTAACCACTGAGCCACCTTGCAGCCCATAAAACATACAGTTCAACATGTATGTACAGAATAAGTGTAGATTTCTAACATAATAAATGTTTAGTTTAAACTGAGTGGATCTTTCAAGGAAATTCCTCTAAAAATCACTTCTAACAAGAACACAAATTACTAATCTAAAACACTGTCATCCTTTTCCCAATACCTCTATCAAATCACACATTTCTTTTAAGGAAATGTTCAAGACAAAACCAGGTAATTCTTAGGAAATAAGAGAACAGTACAATAAAGCGCTACAGCGTTTTTTCATTACATTTCGGACTGGAAATACATCAGTTCAGAGCAGCAAATCAGAACAGAAAAAAAAAAAAACATCCAACATAGTCAGTTTTCTGTTTCACCAGCTGTTGCTCTCCTATGAAAAGAACACTACTCCAAACACAGGTGGCGACCTGAGGAGCGGACTTTCCTCCCAGACAAACACTTACCGGATTTGTCAGGTGTCTGGTGGTCATTTCCCACCCTGAAATGCGGTACGAGGGTCAAAACAACACACGCTCAGACGGCCTGACAGCGCTCTGGATCATCAATAATATAGAAAAGTGCTATGTACTGCAAATGAGAGCCAGGCTGTGCCATAATAGCAAGTGTGCACATGTAATTTCACACGCCCACACCCAGGTATAACGTGTCAAAGAGCCCAGTATGAGAGCGCCCGCTGCTCAGACACAGTGGAGGAAACAGGCCTGTATTAGTGTCATTAATAAGACATGTTGAACAAGCACGCCGAGCGGCCAACAAAGCACAGAGGCTGGCCGCACACTGCAGTGGGCAGCGCCTCACCTCTGTGTGTGAGCGAGAGAATGTGAGAGTGTGTGAGAAAGGGAGAGAGTCTGTCGGTACATGTGAATGTGCGTGTCCACGGAGGCGTGCGAGTGTGCCAGCTTGTGTATGTACATGTGTCTGTGTGTGCTGCGTATGTGTGTGTCTGACCAAAGCTCGCAAAAGACCAGTCCATACTCAGAGTGTGTGTGGCCTGAATGTGACCCAAACCCAAAGGCAGCCCAGCTATTAGAGCAGTATTAGTACAGAGCTGCTATTACGGTGCCTACAGCACTGCTAAATGGCTGCTATTATAGACCAACACACACACACACACACACACACTCACGTGTAAGAGCAGACACGGCTTGCAAAAACACTCCCACACACACACACACGCACGCACGTACGCACACAGTCGAGGCTTTCCATACCCAAACACACACTTTGAACATTGGAGCGCTGTCACACACCGTCAGGGCAAGAAACGCACGCAGAGGAAACGACATTTTCAGACGTTCAGCGGGTCTTGCCTGGGAACTGCGACCATCATTCTCTATTCAGCAAACCGACATAGAGAACACTCTCCGGCGTGCGTGTGTGTTAATCATTACGAATGTGTGTTTGCGTTGTAGCCGTGAGATCAGCTCGTTTTTTCTCTGTAAATCATGTGAAAGAGTGAGGAGAGCTCAAACAACGAGCGGCTTCCTCAAATCAAACACTCGCAGATCAGCAATTAATCTGACCTTAACGAGGGCGAGACCAATAAAACGACCCGTTTCTGTGTGTGTACAGGCAAATACAACATATCTGGAGTTATGAGTGAAGCAGGGACTTTTATTGCTGTAATTTGGGTTTTGAAACTGAATCCCTGCAACAGTGAACAAGTGAAACAAAAACAATAGAGAGCCGTGCAGAGTAAGGTACATTATGAAACACAAGCAGACTAGCGTTTTAATTATAGAGCGTGCTAATTAAATATAAGGGCTCGCTGGAAGCCTAGCGGTTAAAACCACTAATCGTAACATGTCTGGTTTGATTATGGCTGGAGAATTTTATTTGCATGTCATCCTCCACTTTGTTTTGTGCCTTGTTTCCAGTCTGTCTCTACTGTCTAACACTGGGGGAAATATTCCAATATTCTATCATGAATAAAAAAAACAAGGTTGAAATTTTAAAAAAAGGATACAGACAGTAACCTGGATGATTGGACGCAAGGTTGCAGGATTATTACCATGTAAAAAAAATAAAGATGCACATATTTTTGCTTTCCCAACATTCTGCATGTTTTAGTTTTTTAGATTTTTCTTCAATCTTTAATTTGTTTTTTCCGTATACAATACAGTTTGGCATCCACTGGCTTGTGGAAAAGTGAAAATTACTTTTATTGAACCAATGTGAGGGGTCTCGAGTAAATGCTCCTTTGTATTGAATGCTAAAGCAAAAGGGATAAAGCATTGAGAAGGTTTGCAAAACAGCAACAGCGGCAACTTGCACGTAAGCAAAACACTGACTCTAGTTCCAGAGGCTCTATTCTGCAGTTGAACTCTGACCTCCCTGCTGAGAGGTGGGACAAAGGGAATTTCCCTACAAGAAACAATACAGATTCTCATTTATTTAAGAAATACAGTGGGCGCAATTTCAATGCAATTCCAGAGCCTGCACTGCCATCTAGTGGCGCAAGTAGTGAACGGCAGGAATAGAGAGGATGACATCAATTAAGGAGGCGAGGTACACTGAAAGGCTTGTCTATATGTAAGTTTGCATGGGTTTATTCTTGCGTGTTGTGTTTGTGAGTGTGAATGTAAGTGTGAGAGTGCGAGGTGACGTGTGTGTACTTGTGCAGGTCTTTGTGAGGACTTTGTGAGTTTTAGACCTTGAAAATAGGGATTTGATTTTCACTTTCTGACACACCTTCAAGAGGCTTTTTGAAGGTTAAACCTTGGTTTTATGGTGAAGTTGAGAATTTGGGTACTGACTTTTAAAGGTTGGGTAAAAGGCTACGCACAGCATGACTGTCGTCACAAAGATAGAAAAGCAAACTTGTGCATTTTGCATAAGGGTGTATCAAATTTTACAGTTTTATGTGTTTTTCCAGCGAAGACATGCAAACCTGCGTGGACGCACGGGACAAAGACTGCATGTCTGTGGCGCTTGTTCGACGCCGTGAGTTTGTGTTCGAGCTTGCTTGACATCTCTAAGACCGGCTGCCACACCGTGTGGTACTACCAGAAAACACGTGAAAACACAGTCTTGGTTCGTGGTATGTGCTACCCACGTGCTTTCGGTGCAGGCCAAGGTATTGGCTTTAATGAGCCCACACTGTTCTTTCTATCAATCAAATACGCACACACACGCACGCGTACACACACACGCACACACACAGATAGACAGACAGACAGACTCTCTAAACATGGAGTGAATGACGGGTTCATCATGCCAGGCCACAGAGTCTGGCAAGTTCTCTCTTCACACACACACCTTGACAATACAGCCTTTATTTGGAAATGCCATTTTCTCTCCTTTAAAGGGGGTTCCCCGTCTGTGCATGTGTGTGTGTGTGTGTGTGTGTGTGTGTGTTTTTCTTGGATGCTGACTGCTCGAGGGCTTTCCCCTACTTGGTTTTTCCAAAAGCCCAATTGACTAAAGAGAGAGCAGCTACATGACCTCCCTCTCTCTCTCTCCTTACAGACTTTAGTTTTATGTATTTGTGCCGTGCTGCCAATCGCCACATTTGCCAAGGCACATGCACAGATGTTCGCTCGCTCTCACACTAAGTGCATGTACTTCTATGTATTTGTGAGGACACCCATTGCGATATCGTATTCCCCAGCCTTAAAACCAAATGATAGCCATCACAAATAAATGTCTAGTCCCAGTCTGAGTCCAAATCTAGCTTTAACCCTTGAAGCAAACTTTGCAAAAATGACCTCTCTCCTAAAACTGGTCCTCATAAAGACAAACACACAAGAGCCGACACACACAACTGGTAGAAAGTATTCTCTATTGCCAGCCACTGTTCCTACTGGACATAAAGTGTTCTTTGGTGTAAATGACATACATGTGTGAGTCACTGCTGTCAGAGTTACCAAGAGAGGTAATTGTGCACAAGACATCCCGTATGATTGCAGGATGCTTTTATCTGTCATCTGTCTTTTCACAAACATGTCACAAATCTGAGCAAAGCAAAGTCATGACGGCCGCCGGTTATGTCAGCCGAAGCACACGTGTAAAGCATAAAATTTAAGCTGCTACCTGTGACTCCTCCAAAGGTTCCATACGTCATGTTGCAGGCCGTTCTTTGGAGGTTATGCTCGTAAACCAACTTAAGCTGGTACTGGTCACCGTGCTCCACGTTCCCTGCAGTCCCTGCATACAAAACAGGTCAGGGGAAAAAAAGTCAGTGTGCTCATTTAAGTTGAACATAAGGGGAAAAGTTTATTTTTTCATATGTGGTACATATTTAGTACCTGAAACAGAGTAGACTGACAGCTTCCTGGGATGAAGAACAGCCAGGTGAAGAAGCTCTGAACACCTACAAGGACAGGAAACAACACGATTTGACACAACGCAGCCACAATCCGAATCATCGTCGACAATACCACACGAGAGCCGGTGGTCAGTAACGCGACAACCAACAAAACCGAAGCATTTTACGTCTGCCAGAGTTCAAACTTCTAAAACAAATGTCATGTACGTTATACTGGATGGAGACAAGTTTCTCTAAATTCACACAGAAGCTGTAAAATCAATAACAGCTTTTAACGGTTGCTGCAGAGCTTCAGCCCTGCAGCTGGTGAAGACACAGATTCTTCCTCAGGCATTTCAGCGGGGCAGATGTTTCCTGCCACCGTGGTCGAATCCATGTTCTCAGCTATCCACCCTTGTTCTAAAATAATTACTGCAACAGCTGGTGCATTTTTTTTTTAAAACATCGGTTACGGTTGAGGTGTAGGTGATATTCCAGTGATGCTGATCCTAGATTTTCACTTATTTACTTCGCCACAAAACCACGGAGAAGGAATCTGTCCACTTCTTGTACCCAGAGCAAATGCCGCCTAACCTTCAACCGCTGTTGTTATGTTTGTTGTGAGAACAACAACAAGGGAGCAGAAAACTGGATCCCACAAGTTTTCTTTCTCCCTTGAAAAACCACGCCAGTCAGTGCTGAAACAAAACCTTTCACCATCTGCCCACCTCGGTCTGCCCTGACAATATTTACAACGTGCTTCTCTGTCGGGGCCAGCTTCCAAAATGCCCACCAGGCTCTGAAGAATGTTGTGCCGAAAAACCGCAGGTAACTAAACACGACGTCTTCCAAACAGACTGATTTAGTTGGATTCTGCTCCCAGTGTGATGATGTGGGAAGCCTTCGAGACAAACCACAGCTTTTCCCAGAAACCTTGGTTTTCCAGGAGGTTCCTGTGCAGCCACAGTAAGGCAATGTGAGGCATTAGTGTCGAGATTAATAGCAAAGCAAGGCAGCAAGCCTGTCAGAGTTACAGGTTCAATTCCCTGTGTAGCTTAACGGAAAAACGAAGGTGTTTATGTCTAATTTGCGGTATAATGACTGCACCGATTGCATAGACTTTTTTAACAAGTAAGAAGGTTTGAAACTTTAAAATGCAGTTGCACCTCAAAATGTTGAAGCCAAGGTGTGCACATTACCACACACACACAAAAAGATTCTTTTAATTAGGCCCAGTGCTTGGCTGTAGACAGACTTGTGACAGATTCTTGGCGTAAGTAGATGTTTGGCACTGTGATAGGCAAGGGGAGCTGCTTCTCACGGAAGGTGAGAATACTTGCCGAGCTCGTGTCACATTTGAACACTTTGTGCTTTTGTGCTCATGTGGCAACACAACATTTTGCACAGCTTACACATCTCATTCTTCATTTGCATGTTATGCAATGAAACTCTACCACCCACCAAATCTCTTTATCAGTAGCTACAGTAAAGACTCACAGCACTATCTGATGGCTTACATGTCACGACTAATAGCCTGTCAGCAATGAAGGATTAATAATGAAAAGTTTGTTTCAATTAAATGTATGCAAAACAAATAAATTCAGTAATTCCAGTCGTGTTGGAGTTTGTAGTACTATAACTTTGACAGGAAGCTTTTCATTTTTACTGCAAGTATTTATTGGTTCCAAATATCGGTTATCAGTCTCGCTGAATAATAATTATTGGTATTGGCCCTGAAATACTTATATTGGTCGATCCTATTGTGTGCAGCACTTTTAGGTGTGTCTGGAGCAAAGTAAGATTCGCAAATTTAATCTCTGACCACCATTTCTGCTGCACTGGACAACAGCCAGGATTTAGACTTCTTTTTTTTTCAGTTTATTTTGAAGTTGCACTAGTGTGACCTTTAGGGGAAAATTGCTCTGTTTTAAAATCTGCAGCAATCTGAAGCCCCTCAATGTGAAGTTAAACATCTTAGTCAATGCTGGGTCTGCAAATGCCAATTACAAGCAACTACGAGATAAAGAAGACTGACTTTCTCTTCAAGTCTCTGAGGTTTTCTTCAGTCAGTTCATTGACCTTTCTCAGTTACGTGGGGCCTAAAGCAAGACACCACAAATGTCCTCCAATGAGTTAAAATGCGTTAAAGTGTTCCTACTTTTATACTGAAGCAACTGGAATGTTTCTTTCTGTCATATTCTAATATGCAGTGAAGAGGAGTGAACTGGTTCAAAACAGAAGCATCTATATGGAGTTTGCTATGAGCTACTTTTCGCACACCAAGTTGTACTGCGGCTGAAAATATCCGTGGTTTCGGATTGGAGCGAGGGTGCGTCTTAATCACGCACACGGCTTTTTAATTATAATAGAAAAGTTGTGTTCATTCTTTCAAAAGCTGCATACCCTTGCTTTCATTCTCTTCTTGTGTCCTACTTGTTGATCCAATTCTGAATGACTCCCTGGTAAGAAAAATCACGGCACACACTCACTTCATTCCTTTACTCCAATTATCTGTCGCCTTTCCCCACATTCACATCGTTTCCGATGTTCACTTCATCATCTGTTCTCCAAGAAAACGAGTCATTTTTTTCTAGAACCATTTGCAAGTTTTGCTTGACCTTGACTTGGAGGTGGCCAGCTCTTAAGATTCAAATATGTATTAACAAAGCAGGATGGGGTCCTTGGTTTCCAACAGCTATGCTAGCAACTCAGTGGTTCGCCTGATATTATAAGCACAGCTATGTTTGGGCTGCTGGGTGGCTGATAGGTCAGGGTAAATCATAAGCAGGGAGAGAAACTCCTGACAATCTCGGGTTTGGGGTTAGCATGCACTGCAGCGAGAAAAAAAAGACATGATAATGTGGTGGTAAGTAACAGCCGGGATGGTTTTTCTATGAATGAAAAAGCAGCGCAATAAGTTATGAATGGGTGTTTCTGCCCTGCAGTTTAAAGAAAGGCTTTATTATAGGCTATACTATGAATGCTTATAATTCACAGAAGGTCATGACATAGAGTTAAAGAAAGACCTGTGATTCATTACTGCATAGAAGCACACATATGTAGCGCAGAGGAACTGAGCTTTCGATTAGAGGACGGCTACTCTGTGCATTCTGGCCACCCTGACGGCTCTGAGGTTCAGTTCCTGAAGCAGACCAGCGTCTCTATTAACAGCACAGCGTCCTTTACAACAGAGCCCTCTGATGGCCTCACTAAGCAAAAGTCAAATAGCTACCATTCCACTTCGGTTCTTCTTTTGACATGGCTTGACACAACACTTGATTAAAGGCTACTAGTTGCTCATAGTGATGTACCAACAGAACTGCATGATGTTGGAAAAAACTGACATTGCAATATTTTATTTTTCTGCAATATATATTCAGGATTTTTTGTTTTACCAAGATGACTTGAAGAGCTCTATTTGGGGGGGAAAATTATCTCTGTGGGATTAGAAAATGAGAATCATGCAATTATTTGCTTTTGGTGTCAAGCAGCAAAAGAGTTGCAGCCTGAAGAGTTCATTTAAGTTACTTCACATCCCACTTCATGCGATGTTACTATTAAGCATTTGCGCATTGCCCTGTAGATGCAAAAACAACATATTGTGCAGCCCTAAACAGAATAACTCCCAGCTTGGCAGCTCTACGAAGCATTTTTGTGACTTTCAGTGAGAACATTTTAGTGTCTCAATACTAACATATTCATTTTCATGAAGCAAAAATCAAAAGAACTGAAAAATATGACACGAGACAATCCACTGTGGCTGCAGCACATGTCCTCTCTGACCTTTAGGTTGTCTTGACTCAGTTTTGCGAGATATACTTACGAGACAAACTTGCCCACTTCGACCTGGATGATTGCATTTTGAAGCTGGATTTCTAGCAGCTGAGCATCGGCTGAACCTCCTTCGCTGGATTTATTGCCGTGTGGGGAAAAGATCCGGAGCATCCCCATGTAGCTGCCCACCACGACCTTGTCTGCAGAGTTAGAAACACACAGAAGGACTGTTGTGGTGAAAATGGAAGTTATTACCCACTGACAGCTTTCAAATATTTCAAGTTTTGCTGATGATGTCACTGCAAAGAGAGCAAGAAATCAAATGGTCCAAGTAGTGTTACATCAATTCTTGGTTTTCAAACAAACTAAATAATTTGTCTTATAATCTGATTAAACCTGATAAAAGACAAATACATTATATCATCATGCAGAGAAGAGAATAAGGTTTTATTCTTTCTCCCATGAGTCATGTTTTGACCATTTCCAGGCTGCTTACATACTAGCACTACCGAAACCTGACTGGCTGTGTGTTGTGTTTGGTATTTAAGTCTACTTTCTTATATTAATTTTGCATGAAGCCATGAAATAAAAATCAGGATCAGAGATAATCCTAATTTAATTTAATATCAATTATTACGTTCTGGCTGGGACTGGTTTGTATTTACTGCTGTTGGCTGGTAACGTGATCGAATCAGTCAGCTAGTATTCAGATTAAGAAATGTGGGCAAAAATGTTTCAGAGAGGGGCAAATCAAGGTACATTTGTGTATGTGTGCACAACATGCTTGGCTTTGTGCTGAGAATACAATCACAGCTCTCACTTTGTAATGGCATGAACATATTTTTATCCATTTAAAATCTTCAAATTCTAAGTAATGTGCAAAAAATGACATATATTGAGCAAACCTAAACATGGGCATATTTCAGACATGGTCTTGCAGTCTGTGTGGTGGTCAGTTTCGCACTACACACTCACCATGTCCAGTACCACTGTTATCCACGTCGCCAACACATAGGCATCCCACGTCAAACTCCTCCCCTTCGCCGAGCGCTGCTGACCACCAATCACGAGCCTTGAACAGAGACATGCTGCCTCTAATCAAACAGAGAAAAGGGGGAAATGGTTAAATTCTGTAAATGAGACATACATTAAACATGATGTTAACCCTTTGCTCTGTCATTTTCCCAGTTGATCCCAACTGTAGCATTACACTTAAGGGGAACTACTGCTCAGTTAACACATGAGCAAAGAGACGCATGAAGAAAGTATGTATATATAAAAAAAGAACAATTGGAATTAAATCGTTAAACATAAACCTTTCTCTGGTATTGACGTCTATTCATGAGCAGCTCCAGGTGGAGTAATAGGATAGTAAAGTGACTTGCTCAAGAGCACCACAGTGGTTAATGAAGAGGGATCAGTACTACTTATTCACGTCTGTTTCCAGATTTATCCTGCTGGCACAGAAGCAAACCACTATCCCTCTAGTCACAGCAAAAGCACGCTGGATAATCGGTCCGATCAGAGAGGCAGATATTGAGCGATTGGCATGGCGACAGCTTGGGCCACTATCCATTTGGTCGACTAACCCAGGAAGCTGTTCATTACGCTGGCAACTGTAGCCAATGGCAGAGAAGGCAGGCAGTTACATGACCTCAGGATTGTGCGTGTGAGCGATGAAGGAAGAATGAGGAGGGGGGGGTAGGTGGGGCAAGCAGCTTTTCTACTTGCTAAGTGCTGAGCAGGTGGAACAGGCAGCTAATCCAGACAGAGAATCCCTCCTATGTACAGTACAGGGCCGTACAGGTCTGTGTGCGAGGGTTAAAGCAGCATACCACCTTGTACGGCAAAAACTTTTCATAAAAGAGCAAAGTTTAAAAGGCTTTGTGGGGGACAGTAAGACCATAAGCCACGCTACACAATCTCACCTGCATAACGACATTATATCTAACAGGCTTACAGTATTATCCTGTCACTATCTGCATGGCTTTGTGCTTCGATGACACATTCTGTTGTGTATGACCTGCACTTTGGCAATTAACCCACCCACTTCAAGGTGTGAATAGCTTTAAATGTATTTAAAAGTTTCCTGAACAAATATTTTTAGCATGGAAGCAAGGAAGAGCCCTCCAAAGACATTTTAGCTTGGGTCGAAGGAAAGTCTTCACAGCCAAAATAATAAGAAATAATAAGAAAAGTAAATATACTATACATTGTAGCAGACATGTTTGCTGTCAGACGGTCAGAAATAACATAAATATGCACAGATTTCTGCCAAATAAGGCAGCACAGACATGCTTACTGCCATGCGTAGTCATCCACCAAAGACACATTCTGAGGCACCGGAAGTCAGTACAAAATTAATTAAACTCAAAACTTCTCAGCTTGTTTTGATCATCTTGATCTGACCACCAGCTTGATAAAAAAAAACATGTTAAACAAGTAGGAGGAGAGGGACTTTTAGATGGAGGGGTTCAGGTTCAGTGTCTCGTGTTGTAAGGTATCGTCTTGTTGTGTATTTCAGCTATTTGGTGGCTCCAAAATATTTCACTGCAGGTATCAACTAAGTGTCATATCACAGTTTGGATGAGCACACTTAGCATAGTTAATACAATGGCGCAGCAGTATGGACAGAAAACAGAGCACCATACACATTCCCTTAAAATATTCTTTTAAATTGACATCTAAGTGTTAGTTAAATTAGCAAGACATTAATCACACAAGGTTATAGGGGGATGGAAAGTCGAATCAAAGTTGAAATTTTCACCTTGCATCTTTGAGAACTGCAGTCTAAAATATCTGCCCTCAATATTGAGACTACAACGGATTTAACTTGAGTCAAAAGCTACAGTAGAAATTCAATTCAACTCTCAAGGGAGTGAACGAGTAAATTAGCTGTTTAAGTCGTTCCTACTTAACTTTGTATACTATTGGGCTTTGGTAGCACATGACCAGACACCTGTGGGTTTATTGTTCCATACCCAGGAGGACCCATGTTTGGGCAACAACCTCCCACACGTTTGAATCATAAAAACAGTAAAGTTAGTCAACAACAAACACACTCGGTACATTCCGGAAATGCTTACAGGTAAATCAGCTTGCAGATAACGTCAAGCCGGCTGAATTAACTGTAGCTTAGCCGGCTAATTAGCTAGCTCTCCAAGTTACCTGGATACTAGCTAGCAGGTCGCTGTAGTTTTCCCAGCTTCCCCGCTGATGACAAAACACGCTCAGCGTTGTTTCCGGGCTTTTCTCACCTCCGCAAAAACGAGCCAGTCCGCAAAAGTCGAAGCTTCGGTTTTCCTCTTTCACGCAAACATCACATTTCTCACCCTCTTGCTTGCAGCCATCGTCCTGTTGTCATGACACTGACGCTCAACGGAGAAGCCGGGCGTTACTGCGCATGATCGGAAACAGATGGGCAGACAGATGGGAAATGGAGTTTTTGGACGGCAATTTATTCCCGCGTACGGTAGCAAACTAACAAGGAATTTTTGAAGCAGCTGAAGTAATTTCTGAACTACGCATGCTATATAACCACAAGTTGCTTTCATTTAAATCTATGAAATGCATTAATATGAAAGATGAAACTTTTATTTTATCAGAATTTATTGCATTTTTTTTTTCATTTCCACTTAGTTTTTAGTATTTTGAAGTGCCTTATAATATGTTCCAGGTGATTAGTTATGAGTTTCCTGAAAGTTTTAGGTTTTGATATGCAAATTAGGTTTTATCTCATTAAACTGAAGCTAAAAGATAAAACGTGATTTTAAAAAAATATATAATTAATAATAAAATAATAATAATTAAAAAAAATAATAACAATAATTAAATGGTTGTCTTTAGCTTTTTTTCAACTAGTCTGAAAGAAACAACTTTATGGAAGCAAAGTACCTCAAAATTGCACAGTGCTTGAAAAAAACATGGTTTTGCATGTATTGTGTAAAAGAATGAGTCATTTTGAAAACATAAGATGAAATCTAAAGGAGTTAATAAAGCCTGGTAACACACCCTTGATTCTAGACAAAGATTGTAGTGAACGTAGCTAAAGAAAGGTCTGAATACTATACAGTCTATTAGCTGCATGACATTAATGGGAATTTCAAAAACATTGTACAGTATATGCAAGCTTTTTTTAGCAAACATACCCAGTAAGGTAGAAGTTGTGCAGCTTAAAATTGTGTTTATCATGAAGAAATAATCTACCTTGAATGCCTGAGTGCAGAAATGTGCTGAATTATGTTTCTGTATCTTTTTATATGCACCAATGTAGTCATCACCTGACACAAGAAGAACATGTTTTGCTTTATTAATTATATAGTTTAACTTTCACTTCAAAAATTGAGGGCTCGTCCGGGATTTGAACCCGGGACCTCTCGCACCCTAAGCGAGAATCATACCCCTAGACCAACGAGCCATGTGTACATGTCCCTGAACCCTGACTTTCAGATTTTACTGTACATGCCACGTTGGCTTCAGCTTGCAGTGTGCTGCTCCAGATTGTGTGGTGGCTGGGGGCCATCTACCGGCGGTTTGTTGTAACTGCAGCAAGTTTCATTAATTAACTCCGCAGCAGAGACTTCAGCAGTAATCACTTATCTCAACAAAAACCGTCATTATGAGTGTTTAAAGGAGACAGCCAGGATACCGAAAATTTTCAACTTTCATCCTTATGTTTCACACAATTTGCTTGGAGAGAAAAAAGCGCTCATGATACATAGTAGTGTTTCTACCATGTTTATATTCATGGCATGTACATTTAGAGTTGATGCTTATTTCATTTATAATAATTTCCTTAGATGCCTGGCTAGGTTCTTACTTTTTATTGCATAATTTGAAAACGTGCTTTGTTAAAAGTTTAGTATAGAGAAGGTGTAGATTTAGATTAAAGCTTTATAGTGGCAAATGAACTAACTTGTTGGTACTAAAATTGTAACACCAAAAATATATGTGAAAATCTATAGTTTAACATAAATATGGGCTCGTCCGGGATTTGAACCCGGGACCTCTCGCACCCTAAGCGAGAATCATACCCCTAGACCAACGAGCCACATGTACACTTCAAAACAGCTCCAAGTTTTCAGTGTACAAGATGCCACGTTGGTCAGGATTCTGAACAGTGAATTCTGCACATCTTTATTTTGTCCCTGAGCGACACCTACAGGACGTCAGCGGTACTGCAACCAAATACTGAAGACCAGATTTAGAACCGTTTACTGTATATACTAACATATATTTTCTGTTGAATTTACAAAATCAAGTTTAGAAGAGCTGGAAAGAGTCATCAGGGGGAGAGAAGTCTGGAATGACCTGCTCCGCCTGCTGCCTCCGCGAGCCGACCCCGTATAAGCGGAAGATAACGGATGGATGGATGGGCTTTAGAGTTATTAGACAGACTAGAAACCTGTATCACAAGATGCATCTATTTCATCGGGTGTCATTTCACAGAAGGAATTTGCATATAGTGACGTTTGTACCACAAAACTGTGCATTTTCTAGAACTTCAGTTCGGTGTAGAAACCAGTAAATAAAACATCTGGAATAAATAACCAAATGGAAATGTGTCCGTTTTTGGGTAATTCAGAAAACACCTCAAAGCACTTGATCACATTTATGCAAATATCCTGTAGCTGCAATTTAAAATCAGCTCTGTTCAGTAGTCTACAGCATTGCCAGCAAACACCCAATAAAGCCATAAATATATATATGTATGTATTGAAGAGGCACACTTCTAATTTCTGCATTCAGTCGACATTTCTGTCATGCACGTTTGAATACCATCAAACACCAGTTTGAATGGACAATAGTTCAGTCTGTGAGCCACTCATGGCCTCGCAAAATGAATTTTTATTGCATTTTCTACTCACACCATCAAAGAAAGCAATCTGCTTATAAAAATAAAACACACCGGTCTAAACTTCTGGAAATCTCTCCAAATGCAGTGACACAATATACATTTCCATATAACGCCCACATATACAGTATGACATTATACCCCATTTTATTGATAGATATATATATATATTTATATAGACACTTTTTAGCATCCCATTTTTTGACATAAACTTAACAATAAGAAAAGGCAACATGCAGGTGATAGCAGCACATTTAAAACACAAACAAAATTCAAAGAGAACATTCAACACAACATGTGGAGACAGAGACAGCGATATTTTAGTTTTGAACCTCCCGAAAACACAAAGATGAATATTGTAGAGGTAGTGCTCAATTTTGTCCACAGAATACACAGAAGGGTGATAAACATAGACTTTCAACGGGTCTTGTGCTGGGTTTTACGGAGCCGCACACAGCAGAGTGTTTCTGCTTACCGGGATGTTCAATAAACTAGAGTTTAGTTATACTGTGATATAGATTTTACAGGAGAAACCAAAGGGATCCCCTGTAATGGTGTAAGGGGCTTATCACTGTTGGGATTTCTGTTAACGGTCGCTAGATGTCGACTTTCACGTTAATTAATACTTCTTTGACCTTCAACACTGGGGCGGGGAAATACTTCATGAACTATGCAGAGAATCTCAAATTAAAAATGGCGCCATGAGTTGCAGAGATTCTTCTTCTGCATTAAGATGAAGCCAAATTAGCATGTAAGGGGTAAAATAAAAAAACCAAAACTTGTGTGTAAACATGGCTTTTCTGTGCAAGAATGTGTTTCTACATCGACAAATCCAAACTACTGCCACATGTGCTCGTGTAAAGGGGGATCTGGTTTCCCGGTACACAGACTTTAAAGTGCATTTTCTCTCTTTTGCTGTGAATATGTTTTTTTTTTTCTTTATTTACGATTAAAATAAATACTGTAAGTGGCTATTGTGTTGCTGCTGCTGTCACCGAGCAAGACATTTAAATTTTTGCCAGGAATTACATTTTCCAAGGTCCTCTGTGTACTGCATTACTTCCATTAACCCCTAAGCTGGACAATAGCTGTTCCAGATATGTGTTCAATAAAAGACTGACCAGATGGACATCTAAAAGCCCAGTCACACATTTAAAATAAGGGAGCTGACTGGCATGCTGGGATAGCTCAAAAACAAAAACAGTGTGTCTGCGAGCACCTGGTTGATGGTATGCAAATTCTACCATATCAAAAATAATCCCAGGAATAAGTATGATGATAATAATAATAATAATGTGCAAATTCTAAACATAGTGTGAGATGTTTTTTTTTAAAACTCACTTTTGGTTATTCTTTTATCATAAAATGATTCAAGAGGAAAAAAATACAAGAAATGGTTGAAACAGACAAAACACACCAGAGACCGGCTGTTGCTGCTGTGTGGACTTTTAAAACAGTTCATTCAGGAGATCAGGAGATGTAAAATGTCTTTTTAAAAGGCTGTTAGGAGGATGGGGTGGATGGGTTGGCGGGTTGGGGGGGAAATCACAGGATATCTCTGGTCAGATCCAGAGAGAGTGGAGGGGTTGGTGGTAGAAGAGGAGTGGACTGGGAGGGGTGGGGAGTTGGGGGGGAGCTGGAGGGTGGAGTTATAGAACCTTCTGGAGGATGGCATTGGGCACTTCCAGAGTCTCGTCTTTCACGAGAACGATGTCATAAGAGTCCATGTATTTGTCAAGACGCTCTTCCACCTGCAGAGAGAGACCACAGGAAAACTGTCAGGAAAGGTTTCACAGTTCAGGCCAAGCAGCATGGAGGCCCAGTGGAGGAGAAGCCATCAAAGACCCTAACGAACCCCACTGTGGCAGGGGGAGCACTAACGACCCACATAACGAGGGGGAGGAGCAACAACCCCCCAATTGAAACCGAAACTCGGGTGTTAATGGCTCCTTAAGGATATCTGGAACTCCCAACTAGTCAGTCAGAACTGATGAAGCCTCTTGGATGAGAGGTGGAACGTCTTCAAGGAACTCAAGCCAGTCCAGTTGCTACGACTAAACTACGAGAATAACCACGACCTGGATGACTGAGAATCTTCACAGACAACTTCTATAAACCAAAGCTCTCCCAGCTGTGTTGGCTGTGAAACAAAGACAACTTGCAATATTATTAAGATGCATGAGAACTAAATGCAAAGTAGCTGAAGGAGCAGCAGCCAAGCTCAACAGAAGGCTTCAGTTATGGTGTCTAACCCAGAGAGGACAGGGCTGGGCTCTGGATTGCGGCATGCAGCTCAACATTTTTCACTGGTCACGCTGCTCACGCTTTATCAGGTCTGTCTGTGTGTCTCTGGGGGGCCCAAACAGGTAGATAAAATGACATGGTTTCAAATCTTAAATCTGACATTAGAATGCCTTATTTTCCTTTTTTTTTTTCTTTTTTAAATCTTCGGTCATACATCTGTTGGAGTTGCATTTACTGTATTAACTGTGTGGAGACTAGAGGCTTCTTAAAAAAGTCCTTGCAACGTCTACGGATGCCTTTGAGACATTTAAGGAACATCTGTAAGCTGCAGCTCCAGAAAACAACCTGGTTTAAACTCTTCCCCTTCGAACTGCATGAGTCTCTATCACCGCACCTCCCACCAACACAAGTAAACTGTCAGTGATATAACAAAACAACTAACATTACGCAATGCATTTATTTTAAAGAGTGCCGTCGTTTAAGGACATTTTCCGTACGGTTTACGATCTGTGTATCTGTGTCATGGCTGCACCTTGTCATTGAGGAAGCCGATCTTGAGCATGTTCTCCACGTTGGGCACGCCGTCGGCCATGCTGAGGTCCCCCAGCGAGTCGCCCATCAGGATGATGTTGCAGTATTCCCTCAGCTGCTTGAAGTACTCCGTGTTCCGCAGGGCGCCGTCGTGTTTGTTGTACACGTGGATCAGCTCACCTTTGAATCCCTTCAGGACGCCCTACAAGACACAGGAGAGGAAAAAAAAAAAAAAAACGTCAGCCACAATACTGTCATTCCTCTGCAGTCAGGTTGAACAGGAAACACGACAGACAGGATGCAGGACTGAAAGGTTTGTTTTTCACTCACGTTCTCATCGAAGTCCATGAAGTTGGAGACAACCTTGACGTTGGGGTGGTAGACTCCAGCCTGGCGGATGATTTCTTCCAGGATGTCGCCCAGGCCAGCGGAGAAAATGAAGACAGGCACGTTGTGCTGCTGCAGGCGGTCAAAGAACTGCTCAAAGCCTTCTCTGAGAGCACACACACAGGAGAGAAGTCAGTCATGTTCAGTTCATCCTCCACTCTGCTCTAATGAATACCGCTCAAACAGGATCCACACATTTGGCTCTGTTACGTATAGATACCTGAGTGCAGCATCAGACTCTCTCACCACCTCTGGCAGCTTGTCTTTCTCTAGCCGCTGCTCCACAAGTAGTGTGTGGGACTTGAAATACCTGGAAACACACACAAGCAAATGCAGCTATAGGAAGACAGCTTTCATGATATCAATCGCACACTAAAAACGACAAAACATAGTTGTGTTCAGTTGTTTGCGAGCAGCAACACCAACACGACTGTTTGATGAAACGTGCTGGTTTCAGTGTGCGTCTTACCACTCCACCATGAACGGATATTTCTCCTCCATGGTGAGATGAGGGTCAATCTCAATGGGATAGTATTTATTCTTCAGCTGCAGCAGCTTCTGCCTGCACTCCTCTGTTACCAGTTTGCAGTTATCAATGATATCTGTGCAGAAAAACAAAACAATAATAACTGAATGCACATTTTAAACAGGGGGATTCAAATTCCTAGATCGATTGCTGCCAGACTACAGCACAATCTAGCGTTTTCTCTTTTTGTACTTACTGTGACATGTTGGGCAGCGTTTGCCGTTGACGGCGAATTTGCTTAACGTCATGTCAAAGTCTGTGATGATCTGAAACAGCGAGGAACAACAGAAGACACTGAAACAGCTCACACGGAGCCTACTGAGCAAAGTGCAACCGATTGAAAATATTTAATCAGCTAGTTTGAGTAGTAATCTGGTAAGAAGTGCTTTTTTTTTTCTCTCTCTACTGTAGCCTTGTAAAATTCAGCAACACCAGGTGGTGGCGTCGCATCGAAACAGAGAGCGGCGCGGCATCGACCAGACTCGATGTTCTACCTGTAGTTTGGAAGCTCCTCCTTTGATGAGGCCACAGATGATCTGCTCCACTCTCTCAGGGTCCCTCATGTGGACCGTCGTTTTCTCAAACTGAGGCATCTGGAAGCGCAAGAGACAAAAGGAGAGACGCTTAAACTTCCCTCTAATGTAGATTTGGCAAACGGCAGAACTGTGAAACAAGGTATGAAACATGATTTCATCGGCATGATTGTTTCAACTCCTGGAGATGCTTCAGCTTTGACGGATTGCTGAGAGGCTGCAGAACGAACTGCAGGAAGTTTATCTGTGGTCAGAGCTCTGGTATGAGGAGGAGGAGGAGGAGGGTCCGGATTGAGGTAAAGTTTGACCTATTTCTATGTTAAAGTGTGTAGGGAGCTTTAACAATGCCACATGTTCTGTCTTGTACATGCCTCCACCTATACGTTGCGTAAACATGCACTTGACCTACATTTCTGACTTTTTTTTTTTCCAACACTGCCTTCAGTATGTTTGAACACAGTGTTCCCAGACACACACACACACACACACACACACACAGACTCCTGGAGGGGGGGTGTTCAGGGCCATGAAACAGCTGATGTTTGGAATCTGTCAGTGTTGTATAACGAGCCCAACACACACAAACAGCTAGAGTAACGCCCTGCAGAGGGGAGCGGAGCTTCTTGTAACTTCATCTCATCGACAAACTGGACGAGACTTTTCTCAAAACCTCGAGTTGCTCCACAACTTCTATGACGTGCTGCATGAATAAAAAGTTTAAAAAGAGTTTGCATCCAGCAGTCAGGGTGGTGGTGGTCTTTCTTCGCCGTTTCTCTGCGCAAGGTAACGAGCGACACGTTTCTATGCATTACAACTCCTGGTCTAGCTTCAACACTTTTACTTGAAAAAGTGCATCATTGCTGCAATGCAAGCTTCTTCTCCAAAGATAAAATATTCAATGCAGTCCAAACTTTCACTGCTGAATGTGGTTTGTACTCAAGTATTGATATTCTTTCCTGGAGCAACTGATAACAGATAAAAATCCTGCAATCAGTCACAATTTCAGACGAGTTTCCGATACTGTCAGAAGGCTGCCTGCAGGCTCAGTTTAGCCGACACGGAACAAGCTCGTGTTTTGTGTCAAAACGGTACATTAGCCGGTCAAGTCACTAGAACACTCATTATTCCTTGGGAAGGAACAAGCATGTTAAGCTGGCTGTGACTCAGCTGTGTAGGAATACCATCGTAGTCAGCTGAGGGGAAAGACGCATTTTAGGAAACACATTCTGCACTAAAATTACAGTCCAATCGGACAAGGTGCAGCAGCTATAAAAACTGTGCTACTATGGTTTTCCTAACATTAACATAATGACTCTTATGTAATGTTGACAATCTAAAGTCATAGAAAGGGCAGAGTGAGTAGTAGGTACACAGAGTGCTTATGAAATGCAAACAACTAAATGATTAAAACACACAAAGGGCAGAGCCAAGCTTCTGGCTGCCGCTACGTTACTTGGCACACGACATAAAAATAGCATTACATCCTTTTGTTTTTTTAAACTTATTTGCAGCACTGTTTCTCTACAACTACATAGTACGGTGGAACCACACCCCATTCAACCAAGTAGTTACCACACTTACACTTGCAGCAATGTCAAGATTGGACCGTGTATAGACAGTAGAAAACACATCTATTTCTATGTGTGAATAAAGAATCTCTACATGCGTTTATTAGCTAAAGCGAGATCAACTGTGGAGTCTGGCCTCCAAAATCAAATGATAAGAGTGATTCATTTCTGTCAGTGTGAGACTCTGTCTGATGATAAAAATTATCTGGCTCCACCACTGAAAACACACAAATGCAAACAACATAGAGCAGCCTTGCAAAAATATCCCCCCCCCTCCTCCCAAAACACAACTTCTAGGACTTACATAACCAGAATCTCCCCTCTTAACACCTCATAAATGACCCCCCACCCTGCAGACACATGACACTCAGAACACAAACTAAAAATAAACCCCGGTTCCTGAATTACCTATTCTCTGACGAGCCTCGCGCAAGACTCAAAACAACTTAAATTGAATATGTGTTGAGTGAAAAGTGTATGTGTCTGTGAAAGAAAATGAAGAAAAGCTGTCGGAGTGACAAAGGGGCGACCTACATAAACGCACTGTGGCATCTGCAGGCTCCTAAAACCTGTGTTTCATAAAGAAATACGTAAAGGCAGTAGATTTTAAGCCTCTGATGACAAGGAAACCCCTCTGAAAACGGGCTGCATCTGACTCCTGTGCCATATTTTTATTTTTTTTTTTAAATAGATGTGATTCAATTTAATGAACACTATTTACAGTTTGTGAATTATTAGAACTAGCAGCGAGTCAAAAGGTTAAGTATGTTTTTTTCTAAGTTGCTACATGAACCAAAAATACCAACAGCCTTGAGCATCGGCAGTAACACACACACACACACACACACACACCCTCCTACCTTGGATCTGTAGTCTCTGGCAAAACAAGAGTGAAGAAAAGATTGTGTGGCTGCAGAGGCCTTATATATCTACAGTCAGGCAGCCGGGGAGGGAGGGGGCGTTGTCCAAAATAGATTAGACAACGTAGCCCCTCCCTCCATAAAGAGAAGGTCAAACACACACAAATACAGTGACAATTCTAGCTGACCCACGTATACACACACACACACACACACACACAAACACAAGGTTGGGTATAAATAGATGTGGAATGGGGCCGGTGGAGGAAAAGTGGCCGACCCTTGTTCCAGTAATGTCACCTTTGACCCCTTGAAAAATGAGCCTTTAAAAATCGATTAGAAGGGGCGGGTTCGCTTCAGGACTACTGCTGCTGAGCACGCACATTTCAACCACACAACACACACACAACACACACACACACATACGCACGCGCACACAGGCAGTAAATAGCTTGACGCTGGCATGAAAGGTCACAAGGGTCAAGGCTCAGTGTGAGCATTCGACCCCACAATCGTCAGTCATGCATGACACACGTTAGCGGAGATGACTCGCATGCACGCAAACACACACACACACAAAGATAATTTAGACTAGTTATCTCTCTGCTGCGGCTTTAAATTTTTTAAATGTACACGCACACACGTAGAAAACAGCTCAACTTGCAGAATCTCGAGTCTGAACGTGTCCAAAATTGTGCTTTAATTGCACACAAACTGACACATGCGTCAATATCGGGGTTGAGCAAGCTCCTGTTGTTGGAAGTCTCCAAGACGCCTGGAGGCCAAACGACGTCAAAGCCACGATAAGGCCTCTCATAGTAGCTGACAGCTTGTTTGTGGGGTATCAGTAGAATCCAATAGTGACTCTGGTAGCAGGTTGAGGAACCCGATGACTGTGGCAGATGAGATTTCAAAACATGATTATATGAACGCAAACACCTTTGTCCAGTTACAAACTAATTAACTCGTGACGAATGTTAGCTAACTTTAGGTAGATACTGTACAGCTCTGACTACATGACCCTTGTGTTGGTGGTGTTGGCTCTTTCTTTGGGATCAATAACACCACTGTAATCAAACATTACTTCGTCAGCACTGTCATTAGGTTCTATTGATATGTGTCTGAGACAAACAGCAGAATCATTCCATAATAATGTCGTCATCACACACTGAAAGAGACAATCTGTTTCAACTGGTAACAAGCAATGGAGTAAAGGTTGAGTCATTTATTTCCTCTTAAATTCACTTCATTCTAGGAAAAGTCAACTTGAAGTTTCCCATTTTTCCAACTTAGATATTCGATTCACTCAAAAGTAAAATGTGAAACATGATTTTTCTTTCCTTTTCTTCACCCTGTAATCCTACCAGAACATTAAACTGAAGAAACGTGGAAGTCGTGACGTCAGACGCACAACGCTGAAGGAGCAGTAAACATCATTTTCAAATGTTTATGAAAATATAATACTGGTTTAAAGGGACAAAGTGGAATTTCAAGTTAAAAGAATCCACAAAAGTAAACTGAAGTCACAAAAGCACAAAAATAAATCAGATTAATTCAAAACAGTACTTTACTTCAACTACAGGTCGATTACAGCACTTACAGTGTGCACGGATTTTGAAAAATACACATTTCTGAAACCTTTTTTCAATACTACTGGGAAAAATTGCCACAATATTAAGGAGGATCTACTTTAGATGTTCATGAATAGATAAATAACATGACAACCAGCTACATTTTGCACAAATTCATCCCCAACTGCTTGATATGTTTCAATACACCTCTCCTCCATGTCTTTTTATTTATCCACAAAAACCAGTTGTGAAGGATGTCCCTATAGCTCACCTAGTTGAGCATGTGACCCGTAAACAGGGGCTATAGACACCTGATGCAACGGTCGAGGGTTCAACTCCCGCTCATGACCCTTGGCTGCAGGTCTCTCCCCATTCTTTCCTGTCTCTCTCTACTGCTCTAAAATAAAGGCAAAAGCCCAAAACATCCATCCATCCATCATCTATACACCACTTAATCCTCACTAGAGGGTCGCGGGGGGGCTGGAGTCTATCCCAGCTGACTCAGGATGAAGGCAGGCTCACCTGGACAGGTAACCAGTCTATCACAGGGCTACACTTAGAGACAGACAACCAAGCACACTCACATTCACACCTACGGACAATTTAGAATCACAATTAACCTTAACATGTTTTTGGATTGTGGGAGGAAGCCGGAGAACCCGGAGAGAACCCACGCTGCACGGGGAGAACATGGAGACTCCACGCAGAAAGATCCCGGGTGTCCTCACCGGGACACGAACCGACGACCTTCTAGCTGTGAGGCAACGGTGCTAACCACCTTGCAGACCTAGCCCAAAAAATATATATTAAAACAAAAACGCTGTGAAGGCTTTGCACTGGTGAGCTTCCTCTGACCATATCAAAAAGCTAACTGACTGGAGCGAAGGAGAAGAAGGAATAGAAGGAGACAGTATTTTGAATAAGAAGAGGAAGAGCTATGCGGGCTCTGTGCCAACAGCTGGTATTGATGAGGGGAAAAAGTAAAGTATTTCAAATATTTCATAACAATATGTAGTGAAAGAACGAAAAAAACTCCTACATAAACGACACCTTGAATATGA